TGCATTTTAGGAAACAGTGAATCAAATTAGAGAGCAAAATATATAGGGGAAGAATGTTCTAGGCAGAAGGAACAGCAAGTGCAAAGGCCTGAATTATCTGTGTGTGTGATGTGATTGAAGAATTATGAGGTCATTCGGGTCAGAGCAAAGTGAATAAGGGGGAGAGTATAGAAGATAACAGCAGAGAGGTAGTGCAAGGCAGAGTACTTAGGGCCTTATAGGTCATTGTACAGATATTTGGCTTTTAGTCCAATATGGGAAACCAGTATAAGACTCTGGGCAGAGAGATGACATGATGTGAATTATTTTATAAAAATATTACTCAGACTAATGTGTGGATTAGGCTGTAGAGGGGCAAGAGCAGAGCTGGGAGACTGATTAGGTGAAAGATGAAGGTGGCTCACAGCAATGCAAGAACAGTGAAGGGGACAAGAAAAGATCAGGTTCTGGATATATTTTGAAGGAAGAACTGATAAGCTTACTTGATGGGTTGGATTAGGGGTCTGAAAGAAAGAGTAGTCAAGAATGATCTCAAGGTTTTTCACCTAGCAATTGGGAGAATAAAGTTGTCATTACTGAAATGGGTAAGACTACAGGAGGAGCAGGTTAGGGACAGGGAATAAGAATCGGGAATTTGATTTTTGAACAAGTTAAGTCTGGGATGTCTATTAGTTATTCAAGTGTAGTTGTGGAGTAGGCAGTTCACAAGAAGATAAGTAACACCACCAGGAAGCCTATGCTAGTTGCCACGATGTTCCAGTCACTGAGTGCTAGAGGAGTTCAGTGGGAGAAGGGATCAGTCTGGCCTGGTGTGACAGTAGTGATGGAGACCAGCATCTGATTACAGCTTCATCATTCCCAGGTGAGTAAATTGACTATGAGATGGTATGGAGAGGAGGTTCCCTCCAGAATGTGCCCTGTAGAACCTCAGAGTAAGAAGAACTTACTTACAGGTGACCTGGTCCAATTCCCTGCCTATATGTGAATCCTTTCTAACAAAAATACAGCCTGCCATGGCAGCTGAGAAACCACCATCTCAGACTAATCCACAAGCAGGTAAGAATCAGGAATCAGGCTGTTCTCTTTGAAACAATATGTCTGTTGAAGCACAAGGCAAAGGCAAAGAGACAGAACACAAACCGCCTGGAGCAATGTGACAGCCTGCCTTACGTAGGTTCCCATGTGTTTTTGAGCAACTGCAAACCCAAGGCCAACCTGTCTGTATTCCCAGGGGGTAGGATGGGTCCTATGTTGTATATTCAGCTTGTAAACAAAGAAGAGAAGGCATAGATATTAGTGCCCTTTTGGATTTTCAAGGTCAGACAGAGACATGTATATTGGGCTTGAAGTGAGAGTCAGTGAGGAGTCCATGTTTATCTATAAAGTGTATGTGAGGAGAATGATGGAGTAGGATGCTTTCATGCTGTTTTAGGGGAAAATAGTGAGTGGCAGGCAGTTTCTGTTTTAGGCTGAGCGTAAGAATTTAATGTGTATGCACGCACACTAACTAGCATTTGAGCGCTTTGTGTAGATCACGTTATGTAATCCTCACAGGAGCACTATAGGGTACTTACTAATTTGAACTCAGCTCTGACTCCAGAGCATATAGTTTTCAATCCTACTCTGAGTCAGGCATTGGCAAACTTTTTCTGTAAAGGACCGGATAGTAACTATTCTTTTGCTCTACAGGCTGAACAGTCTCTGTCTCAACTACTCAACTGTGCTGTTGTGATAAAGCCGCCACCGACAGCTTATTTATAAATAAATAAGTAAGGGGCTTCTGGAGACTCAGACTGACACATTTAGCTTTCTTTGGTCTAGGTCACTTACCACTTTTCTGTCTGCTTTTAAGATTCCAAAATTTTGTCAGCATCTCTCTCTTTGTTGTTTTCTTTACTGTTCTCTTTGTTCTTCTAGTCTTAGGCCTTTCTTATTCCTTGACCATCATTTTAGTGAAATTTTGGTTCAGATAGGAAGTAAATGTGTAGTTACACTGTCATTTAAAACATGTAGGCATAATAAAATAACCACAGAAACGCATCTCTGAGGTTCATATGGGTTTACTGGCTGTGAATTTTCAACTCTTAAACTATACTATGAATACTTTTAATTATGAAAATGAATGAAGAGCATTATATGTACTGACAGAAAAATGCCTTTCATATGTTAAACAAAAATAGAAAATTCTAGAACAGTGTTATAGTATGATCCTATTTTTGTATATGTTTGTAACTGTATTAAAATTCTTTTAAAGGATATACTTCTAAATTTAATGGTTGTTATTTGTAGAGAGTGGGACTGCAAAGGGATTGAGAGGTTGGGGAGCCTTTCCCTTTTAATTTTATATACTTCAGTGATATGTGGATATTTTACATTGAGCATGTATTGTGTTTGAACCTTCTTTGGTTACTGAAGAAAAGAATATATAAAGGAATACAGTTAGCCCCAGCCGGGTGGTTCAGTTGGTTGGAGCATCGTCCTGTACACCAAAAAGGTTGTGGGTTCAATTCCTGGTCAGGGCACATTGGGAAGGCAGGCGGTAGATGTTTCTCTCTCACATCGATGACTCTCTCTCTCTCACTCTCTTTTTATCTCTCTCTCCTTTCCCCTCTTTCTGGAGTCAGTGAAAGCATATCCTCGGATGAGGATCGGAGGGAAAAAAAAGGAATACAGTCATCCCTCAGTATCCATGAGGGATTGGTTCCAGCCCTCCCCCTACTAAATTCACGGATGCTCCAGTCCCTTACATAAAATGGGGTAGCTTTTGTATACAGGCTTCAGCTGGGTATACCTATACATGACCTAATTCGTGTGGATTCATCATAGTGCTCGGCAGGTGGCAAATTCAAGTTTTGCTTTGTGGAACTTTCTGAGGTTATTTTTCTGATTATTTTCAATCCACCGTTGGTTGAACCTGCGGATGTGAAGCCTGTGGATATAGAGGGCTGACTGTAGTCAGCAGGGCCAAATGCCCTAGAGCAGTCAAGTAAAATGAAGGCTGAAAAATATCTACCAGATTTGGAAATTAGGAGGTTGTTATTGGTGCTATGGGATTAAAAGTAACTCAGTGAAGAAAATATAGGCTATCAGGAACTAGACATAGTGATTTCGGCTTTTCTTTTAAAAGACCACTGAAAACAAGGGTGTGAATTAGAGTTGAGGAGGCAGGGTCTGAGGTTTTCTCCCCAGTATATGAAAAGTTTGAGTATATTTTATAGCCTGTGGAGGAAGGGTCCAAGTAGGAAGGGAGGAAAATTCAGAAAAGAGATGACTTCAAGGAAAATAATTCTAGAACTTTCCTCATTTGCCTTATCTATCTAGTGGTGATTAGATGCCTCTACAAGATTAAAGTAACCAGGTAAAGTGGTGTTCAACAAACCGATATAGAAGGAAAGGCCCAAACTTTTGGTGAGGAGGGCTTTGATTAGATGGCCTTTGAAATCCCTGGCAGTCTTTGGTTCTACAACTTCAAGTAATCTGAGTTGGTCCTACTAAGCATGGACTTGAAAGAAACAAACACCCTGCTGTAGGTATGACTTAAGTTAGGAACCCAGGTTTGTTAGCAAGAGAGATAAGAAGGTAGAGTTTCTGTTTCCTTTGAGAGGAGCAGAGCATTCTCCCAGCCGCACATCAGGAAATCTGAGAGTTAGCACTTCCTCTAGCTCCTTATCAAGTTAAGAAGCTCATTTTCTTTAAAGTACCTGTTTCTTTCCTTTTCTTAAGGATACTCATTTAGAATCTGCTTTGCCAAGAATCAGTGTATTTTGGGAATGCATTTCTTCACCTCACCAGGGTTACAGTGAGTCATGGCTCTGACTCTGTCCTTCCTCAGAAATCTGTAAGGTGGTGGAAAAGGAAGACCTTCTCCAGTTCTTCCCCCTCCCCTGGGAAAGTTCTAGGCTCTGAGCTTCTAGAGGTGACTCTCTTTCCCCTAGACTTGGAGTGCCATCTGGTATGTATTACATAGAAATTTAGGGTTAGATGCTATACCTTGAGGGACTTCTAATGTTAATGTAAACTGGGAATAAAATGCTTTGTGTAGAAATTTCTCGGGTCAAACAACTTCTTATCAAGAGGTAGCTTATACTTTCTGGAGGCCACTGTGGGTAGAAGCAGCAAAGCATGGATGGATCAGCCTAGGAACTCTCTTAAACTCAATCCAAGAGCAGACTTGGATTGCTCACATTGCTCACTTTGCTTTCTAACACTAGGTATCCTGACACAGATATAATAAGGTTAAAATAAGTTCCCTGCCTCTTGGTCAGTCTCTGCCCCTTTTATACTCCCACTTTTTGGTCCATTGAAGAGAGGGGCATGGATGACAAGCATATGGCAGGAGTGGTCTTATACTCCTTGAGATTCAGAAGATGTCAATAAAGATGAGTCCTGTGGGTTCTGCCATGTTCCAAAGTATGTCTCCAGAAAGGGTTGCTCAGCAGGTCTGAACTCCTGTCTTCCTACCCCATCCACTCATGGGTGACTCAGCCCTCAGGCTGGGTCCAAAAGATAAGACTGTAAGGGAGTGAGACTTGAAATAGAAATAGGCAGAGCTTCTGACAACCAGTGCTAGGTAGGTTTCTTCGGCCTGTGAAAATAAATTGCTCCTTCTGTAAATCACCTGGAAGATACACCTATTCTACATAGACTAAGGCCGCTTTTCTCTTGAAATGCCCTTGTAAGGTGGGAAGGCAGTAGGCCAAGGTAGTCTAAATCATAAGGGTCCTTCAGCTCGCTTTAGCCATAGAATACTCATTGGCCCTGTCCCCATCTTTCTGTGTCCCACCTTGCTCTTTTCATTCAGCGTGGCCTACTGCAAATTGGTTTCTAGTACCTGCTCTGACAGTACCAATGAGTCCCTACTTGAAAGAAGAGTAAATGAGTAGCAAAGGTAGAGCTCAGTTATGTGACGCCCCTGCATTATTTCAGTGGCACCTGGGGGACAGTGGGAGAAGAGGAAATGACCTGTCATTAAGAAGCCTCTGCTTTCTGTTCCTCAAGCAACCTCATAACATTCTGCAGAGGCGCCTCATGGAAACCAACCTGTCTAAGCTCCGAAGCAGCCGTGTCCCTTGGACCTCCAAGACCAACAAATTCAGTCAGGCTAAGTCTGAGGGGCTGAAGAAGTCTGAGGAGGATGACATGATTTTGGTTTCTTGCCAGGTAACATTCTGAGAACAGCTTTTCCAGGGTCTTCTGTCGAGTAGGATTTGGGCCCATTATGATCCCAATAGTGGGTCTCTCACTAATTGTAGAGTGTGGGTCTTATCATGGGATTCATAAATGAGTTTTAAGGAGGGCACTCCATGCAGCACAGAAAGTGTATGCAGTATTTTGTATACATGTGCATTTTTATGGGGAAAATGGCCAAAACATTCATCACATTTGCAAAGGGCTATGTGATACACACACACACACGAGCCACTTGATATATAGACTGAAACACCCAAAGTCCTTTGGGGTCTTCTGTGATCTCTAGATTGAGCTGAGTCTCCTTTACCCAAGGAGACTCGGACATGGGTAAAGATGGAATACTACTAACCCATAACTGTGAAAATGCCCTCCAACCCTGCCTTTCATATGACATTTGCTGCTGGCTCTCTGGATCTCCCTTCCCTTGCTTCTATTGCACAGTTTGTTTCCTCTTCACAGTGTGCTGGAAAGGATCTGAAAGCCCTGATTGACACAGGCTGTCAATATAATCTCATCTCTTCAGCCTGTGTGTATAGACTGGGGTAAGTAGCTACTTATACTGGGTGGAATTCAGATGCTAATCACTCTGCCTGAATCTATTTTGAGGTTAAAGATGGTGAGGTTCTCCACAGAGGCTCCAAGAGAAGTGTGCAGAGCTCAAATATCAGCTGGAACCAGTCTTTAGCAGAGGGACAGAGTGGGAGTTCTCAGGCACCTGGGAGAATTCAGTGAGCCAGGCAAGCCTGAGACTTTCCGTTAACTCCCACCTATTAAGTTTTGAGGAAAGACCTGTGAGCTCTGGAGTGAGAGAATGTGAGATTCTTGGTTTATTGTGCGCCATGCCCTGAATCTGATTTGTGCCCTGCCCGGACAACAAATTCGGAGGTGCTCTCCTATTGGTATAACCCCGATGAATCAAAGGAGAGGATGTGGCTGGCTTTAGCTTAACTCAGGGTCCTTCTGAAGGCCACACTGCCTGTCCCAAGAAGCATCAGTCTGAACTTAGAATAGGACTGCTGTTGCTGCTGCGCCTGAGTCATCATAGGGGTCATTAACCAGTAGTCTCTCGGTGCCTTTTCTCTCTGTGAAGAACATGTAAAATGAGATCTTACTGCTGAGCCTGCTGGGTATCGGGTGCGAGAGGCAGACGCCTCTCAGAATTGAATGCCTTCAGTTCTCTAACAGCTGGTAATGGGCTCTCCCGCCCTCATTTAGTCAGAACCATTTTGTATCCTTCCTCCTCTTCACTCCAGCTTTACTTTCCTTTCTTCTTCCTTCTCTTTCCCCCAAGGTACCAGGTGGGCCCTGAGATCCAGCCCAGGATTGGGAGGATCCACCCAACATTCTTTCCCACTTCCATGCCCCCCCTGCACGCACTCACCCCCAGCCCAGGCCTCTGCATTGAAACAATCGCTAGGGTAGATAGAAAGGCCCATTTTAAATGACTTTCAAGATGTCCATGTTCTTAGGTAGGGCTCGAACAAGACTTGATTTGTGTAACCAGTGACCTCTTCCTTCTTGTTTCTACCCTGTCCTCAACCCTCACTGGGGGAGGGGGGAGTCCAGGATGCAAGTGCTCCTGTGGGAAGTATCTGAGCTTTTTAATGTGGTGAAGAGATGAGACACAGTGCAGCATGATGGTTCCAAAAAGACTAATAATGTCCCGGTGCATAATTAGGCAGCAGACTGCCATGATTCCAGAGGAATTAATAACCATCTGTAAAACTGCAATTATTTTTCTTTGGGGTGGGCTGTAACACCAAAAGAGAGGAAATGGAGTAAAGCAGAAGTATTGGCACAGAAAGTCCATAATTAAGTATTTATCCGCCAACCCATAATAGCTCCGGTGCTAGCTGTTCTGATCACATTACATAACAGTAAAACCCTGATGCTGTTTCTTTCCTTCCTGCCCTGCACAGACAAGTTAAATTGGGACTTTCTCCATGACAGTTCTTGCTGATATAAGTATCAATGCACTTACTGACACTAAACTTAAAACCTAAGGCTAAGTGATGAGGGTAGACTGAAATGAAAAAGACATAGAGAAGATTAGACATTGAACAAAGTATCTTCTAAAATTAGGATGCACAATAGGATTCTCTGAGTGAGTCAACTCTTTTACCAATGCACATGGTGGTGTATATCTTTGAGAACAGGAACTGAATCTTTAGCCTTTTTTTTTTATATTCCCTGGCATGTTTAGGACAAAGTGCTGAAACAAGAGTGTAGGCTGGCTAGCACTTTTTTGGTAAATTAATCCCAGGAAATCCTTGGAAAATTTCAGCTATGGGTCAGAAGGTAAACGTTGCCAGGTTCCATCAGAAACCTCTGCCAAGGGGATTCTGGTATCTTCTCCTCTGGTGCAGACTCAAGGAGCATGTCAGATCTCACAAGCATGAAGGAGAGAAGCTTTCTCTACCCCGGCATCTGAAAGTAGTGGGGCAGATCGAGCACCTAGTGATCACCCTGGGCTCCCTCCGCCTGGACTGCCCAGCAGCTGTGGTTGGTGAGTAGAATTGGGGACTGGATCTATGGAACCTAATGTAAATCTTCTCCCTACTTCTAAACCCTCATGAGATCTCATGCCTGCAAATACTGACTTCTTCAAAATCCCAGGTTTTCACTTTTCTATACAAAAATTGTCCCAATTTTTGCCCTCCAAAACACCAGTTGGACCCTGGGTTGCATTCAAGGCAAGTTGAGAATTACTCTTGAAAAAAAGGGAGAGCAAGACAACAAACATTTTGTGTGCCAGTGAAAATGGCCATTTAAAGCTTTCTGTGTGCTAGTTTGAGGTAGAGGGCAAGATCCTCTTACTCCTTTGTCATAAATCCCTTGATAATTTCCCACCATCTCATACTTTCCCTCAGGTACTCTGTTCTAGACCACTCTAAGTTCCTGGTTTTTATTTAAAGTTAACAAGACCTGGGTTTGAATCTTGGTTCTGTTGTCTTTTAACTGTAATTATCTGGGAAAATTACTTAAAATAATGGGTGTGCAAGAGATGTTTATTAGATGGAAGGAATAGATGTTTATTAGATGGTTGGTTGGTTGGTTGGTTGAATGGAACCTAATGGTGATAAGGCTGACTTATAAATCAGTATGAAAATGGCTGAATTTTAATTTCCTTTTATTAGAGGACAATGAGAAAAACTTGTCCCTTGGTCTCCAGACTCTTCGGTCCCTGAAGGTAGGATTGGTTCTACTTTCCCTTTGACACTTCCTCTCTGAGGAAGGGGTCATCTTCTATGGATATGCACAAAGTGAGATCATTGACAGGGATTCTCTTTTGTTTTCAGTGCATCATAAACTTGGATAAGCACCAGCTGATCATGGGCAAAACAGACAAAGAAGAAATCCCTTTTGTGGAGACAGTTTCCTTGAATGAAGACAAGTGAGTGTCCAAATGGGTCAGATCAAGTCAAATCCATTTGCCATTAACCAGAGGGTTTCTCATACAGGATATTGGGTTGTGTCCTGCCTTTGGCCTTCAGTCATACCACAGTCATACCCCTCCCTAACCCCAGATTTCATCATCTTACAAAACTCTGTAGCTCACATGTCAGAATGAGCAGTGATGATACTGCACCCAGCAGTGGGGAAAATGAGTAGCTTTTAAACGAAACTTGTACTTGTCTTCCTAATGTCTTTGAATTCAGTATCACTTCTTCTGTTTCTTTCTCATTGCAGCACTTCAGAAGCATAACTGCAGCCTGCAGCATGTCTGCACGTATGCACACATACCAGGTTGACAGATTGAGAAAACTGGGTTTGAACCAAATGCAGTAGCAATGTGCTGTGGACCAAGTTCTTTTCTCTAATAGAAGCTCCAGGGGCTCCTTCCCACCCAGACCTCTCTAGACTTTAGTCTGTGCTTAGAGATCTTGTCTGGTTATAGCCATTGTTTTTTACTCCTTTGATCACTTAATTTATAGACCTTTTTGACACTGCCAGGTCTCACTTGTGGCCTATTTCTCTGCTTCTTCCAAGAATTTGCTTTTATTAGTCAAGTATAGGGGCTGCCAGGTTATATTTCTCCATAAGTACACTTGCTGCTTTTCCTATAGCTAAAATGTATAATAAACAGGAACTTGACCTATACCTCCTTTCAGCTGTTTCAGAGAGGTGCCGGATGCCTATGTCTCAGAATTAATGTTTCTCCAAACTCATTCATTGATTTTCAAGTATGAATAGATCTGAAATCTGAAAGAGCCCAGAGAGATAATCTAATTCAACCCTTTCATTTAAAGGTCCAGAGAGGCAAGTGAACTGTCTAAGCTCATATACTGAGTCAGTGGCAGAAGGGACCTAGAACTCAGACCTGACAAGCCAAGGCTACGTTCATTCTCCCATGCTGCTTCATTTGTCTTCAAGCCTTGAGAGGCAGATGAAGAGATGAGGGTTTGTGAAAAGGCAGGGTAGGGGAAGAGTATGCTTTGGGGATGGATGCAGGAGGATCTGGGTAGCCTGCCTTCCTGTGTGCTAAGCCCACTAAAAGTTCCCTGCCCCCAATTGTCACATTTAGGCCCTTATCTTGGTGCCTAAAAGCCGAGGGTACAAAGATCAATGAGATGGTCTTTCACCTGGAACTTTTTGGAGGGGAGGAGAAGAAGGAACCACAGACAGAAGAACATTAATTACTCTCTGAGATGGAATTGAAGGCCTCAGTAAGTAATCTGGGCATCATCGTTAGACATTAATACTCCCAAGATCCAATCACTATCTCTGCCTAGACTATTATTTTTCTGCCATGGAGTCAAGTAGTTGAGAACAGGAGTAAAGCAGATGAAAAAAAAAACAGAGGAGGTCCAGAATAGAAAGTAGTACTAGGTAGAATCAGTTGGTGGGAAGGCCTATGTAGGGAAATCTTTCTGGGATGGTCAGGATGAAACTTCGAGGCAGGGAACTGAGGGTTTGGAAACCCTTCAGCTCTGTCCTGATATAAGGAAAGAGGCAGGGAAGGAGCTGGCAGTGTTAAGAACAACTTTTTCTGACTGCCCAGTATTTCCTGACCCCTTTCAAAGAGTTGAAGATCACAGGGACTTCTTGAAGCTTTTTGTTGGGGGTGTCATCTTGGGCACACAGATACCTGGAATGGAATTTCCTCTTCAATTTAGTCATAGAAGTGCCTGGAGAAGTCAGAAAAATAGCCAGCTGTGGGTATTCCTTTAGGAGAATCCCAACCCTACCCATGATTCATAGCACAGAGTATTTAATGGGTTCCATTCTGAACTTGATAAGTAGGTAAGGTCAGTTCTTCCCAGAATCCTAGAAAATTCTCTCTGGCGCCTCTGAGGGTATAGGAAGAGTGTCTACCTAAGTCACAGTTCTGAAGACCAGCAGTAGCAGGAAGTAACCCTATAGAACTGATACCCCTCTCCTTCCTTATTAGATGTCCATCTCAAATACAGAAAGTTTGGAAAATACTGTTTTTGTCATTTGGTATTTCTATGCCTGACTGATTTGTGGAACAAATGTTTTCTGACTTTTCTATTTCCTTGCCCTGCACAGACCCCACCTGGTAAGATTTTCTATGCCTTAGCTCAAAGTGTCTATAGAATGGATTGCTTGGTCTGTCAGCTAGCCTCACTCTTGTGTAATAGAAATATCTTCCCAGGTTGGGGACATGGAGGAGACGAACTGGATTCCTGCCTCCTTCTGTTTCCAGGCCTCTGCATTAGCACTTTATCTGCTCAGTGTTTCTGGCTGTGTTGGGTTTATTTGTGAAACTAACAATAAAGTGAAATGTTCCCCTCTGTGTGCTTGTCTGACAAAGTGTCTGTGTCTGGGCCCCTGGAAGGTAGGGGAGCTGGGAACAGCCTAATTACATCAATGTTTGTCCCATAGGATCTTTGGGACAAAGACATAAGGCTTTGTTGTCCTTATTTCCTCTATTGCTACTGGCCCTTCCGCTCTCCCTCTTACTGGCTGTATGTCCTTGGGAAAATTAGTGAACCTCTCTGAGCTTGGTTTTGTAATCTATAAAACAAGGGATAATAGTACTTCCTTTATAGTATCAAATGAGATAATTCATGTAAAGTGGTTGGCATATAGTATTATGGTATACAACATTAATTGTATATGAAAATTATCTTTAATGGTGGCTCAGCAGTAAGAGAACACTTCTAGAAAAGGAAATGTTTATTCAAACAAATAGAAGAGGCTTGGGAAGAGGAAGGGTTTAATAAACCTTAATAGATAGCTAAAGCCAGGTCTAAATGACATTCCAAATAAATGCATTTTACAGGTGATAAAACCTTTAAGTGTTAATATTTTAAATATTTACACAGTATGGTTAAATAGTCAACAAGAAATATTCTTTTTTAAAGATATGTTTTTTATTTATTTCAGAGGGAGGAAGGGAGAGGGGGAGAGAGATAGAAACATCAATAATGAGAGTCATCGATCAGCTGCCTCCTGCATGCCCCCTGCTGGGGGTCGAGCTCGAAACCTGGGCATGTGCCCTGACTGGGAATCGAATCCCCATTTCCTGTATCACAGGTCGATGCTCAACTGCTGAGCCATGCCAGCCAGGCTACAAGAAATATTCTTTATGGCAGTAGTTTTCACAGACTAGAATTACTGCTCTTTTGCTACTCAGATGATACTATCATTCCACCTAAAAAGGCTTTCTGTCTCATTTTTGTCCATTCTAAATATTAAAAATGTAAAAAGACTTACCTAACCTGAATCTTTAGCAATGAGGGACAGAATCAAGATTCATAATCATCTTAATAGAATGAAACCAATAAAATTGTTTTAACGGAGTTAAAAAATACATTCTGACTTCCATTTAAAAAAACTTATTGCACGTGCTCAGTGGGAAGAACTTGGATTAAGAAAAGCTTATGTGAAGATGATGTTGGTGTTTTAGTTTATTACAGATTCTATATGTAGAAGAATTAAGGACTGTGTATGGAGAAAATGTCATTTGTAGGACAGGGACGTGTATATAATATGTGGAGCATGCAGAAAAAACAGTGGGAACATGGTTATTGTCTTCAGAGCTGTCATGTGCAAAGTGTTGTTCTGGCACAGAAAGGCAAGCATTTCCAGTAGGTGGAGGTTGCAGAGAGGCATATTCTGTCTCCATTAGAAGGAAGTGTCTGCTGTAATCCAGGGACCATGCTAACCCCTGCAAAGAAGGTGGTATTGTCCACAGTTTTGCAGAAGGAAAAGCTAAGGCTCAGAGTAGTATAAAGATTCAAACAGTTAGTACAATTAAATGAACTGTCTCCTAAATTCTCTTTCACCAAATGTGAAAGGTGGAACGATCATTCTCTAGCAATATGATGAAAGAGATTTCTGCACTGGGTAGAAGGATGGATAAGGAGACCTACAAAGTTATTTCTAATGCCAAAATGGTTTGATTCTAGGACATCTTTATTAAATGGCATTGTGAATCAAATGTAGTTTCTTGTGTACTCATTGCCATCACTACAAACATATTCATTTGGACTGAAATTATGAGCTTTTACCCAGCTTTGAAGGGTTGCAGGCTGCTGTTCTTAAGGAATCAGAAAGCTGAGACAGACTAGCCTGTGTGTTATAGCTTGGACTCCTCTGTCAGCTACTGCTCCTTCCTTCCATTATCAGTGCATCCTCAGAATATGCTACTGTCATATTTTATGCTCACTCATCTGGCTGATGACTTGCAGGTAGCTGTTTCTCACATGGTGTCAAGCATATGGGCATTGTGACAACTGTTTTCTCAGAGATCTTTTTATTCAAGGGTTGTGGCATGTTCTGGAAGACTGGGGCTATCAGATGTCTGCTTTTAAGTAGTGACTTATCCAAAGGTTCTAGCAGCTTGTTGACCGCAAGCCTTGTTCTTTCTTCCCAACACCTCTACACAGTCTTTCTTGGACATATGCCCCTAGCCAGCAAATCCCAGCCACCGGGGAGGGGAATCAGGGAGGGGAATTCAATCCTGATTGCTTTTACTGGAGCCAGAGTAGCCTCCCAATTTGTAATTAATACGGAAAACCTAATTCTCCAGGGAACCCACATACTCCAATGTTGACATACTCAAACCCTGTCAGTTGCCTTAAACAGGAGAAATAGGTTGGGAAAAGGGAGTATTGTTGATCTAGTAGAGATACTTGTGTTTGCCCGAGAACAGAGGGAGTGGGGACATATAATCTTCTGTACTGTGAGCCTGGATAACAGGAATTTAACTTTGCTTTTATCATTTGGGACATCTTGGGATTTGCTGGACGAAATGCTGGACTCCTGGATATACTTCCTGGATGACCTTGTTCTTGGAGGGCTGCTATAGTGGTTCTCACTTATTTTGAAAATGGGTAGGGACGTGAGAATTTGGTGCTGAGGAAGCAATTACTGTTTTGAAAGTTCTAAAGAAACTGCCCTCATGTCTGAATTGATAATAGTTCCTCTGTGGTATATATGAACCATTCGGGGAATAGAAAGTATATTAAAGTGAACAGGTTTCATAAAGACCAATTAGACCACAGGGGTGTGTGAAGAGGGCCTGTTTTAAGGTCTGAAGAAGGGTAGCCAGAGAGGAGGTTCCAGGCTCAGTATGAGCAGGTAAGGGGTGAGGGGAAGGGTAGGAATTGAAAAGAGTGACAATTAAAGGAAGGAAATATGGGGTGGTAGTCTAGCATCAGCCTGAATTGACTCCACCACTGGGATTCAGATCTGCGTACGTGTACACCAGAAGCCTGTAGTGTGGGCTAGTGGGAGCCTGTGTGTTTGAGAGACTGAGCAGCATCCTGAGAAGACCAAGCCAATCAGACATGTCTCTCTAACACCTCCTTCCACATTCTCACTCTCAGATGATGACTGTACTTTCTACTTCATGAAATAATCAGAACAGTCACCATTCTCACATCTACCTTCTAACCAGCATCTCAGCTGATGCAGATACTCAGCTTTCCCCTTCTATTACTGTGTTACCATAGCACAGTATCCAAATACTGTCTCCCCCTCTGGAATCTTAGTTCCAAGAGGATGAGTTTCTTGTCTTTTTTATACACTGATGTACACCTAGTACCTAGAACAGTGTTTAGCACAGAAGTGTTCAACAAATACTTGAGTGAACACTGGGCAGTTTAGAGAGTTTTTCTCCAGAAAAACTTACCTCTCCTTCTAAGAGAAAAGACTTACCTATCTTGACAGTTGATCTCTTTGGGCACCCTAAGTGGTATTTTTTCAAAGAATGTTGAAATAAACTTTCTTTGAAAAAACACCCACAATAAGAAATTCCCGTTTTATTGGGACTCAGTATGTAATATGATACATTGTGTGTGTGTGGGGGGGGGGGACTAAAGATTCACAAAATACTTTTCCTTTTTATGTGTGATGTGTTCTAACATAGTATTTTCTGTTCTATTCTGTCATGTAGAGTGGGGGGAATGGTTGGCTGTAACTGATTACATTGATTTCACAAACCACTAATGGGGTTGCAGCCAGAGTTTTAAAAATACTGTAGTACAAGCCCTGTCTGTGTACACAGTTTCCAATCCATGTTCTAATGCCTCACTCTTCCATATGAATGGATAGCAAGGATCTCCAGACACTTAAGAAATGTCTTAAATGAGTTTTTACTCAGCTTTGAAGGATAGAAAAGACAGAAACAAAGGCTGAAAAACTCAACACAGGCAATTCAAGAAACGAAACACCAGAAATACCCTCAGAGAAATAAGATATTCCAGCAGCCAAATGGAACAGAATGCTGTTGGACGGGGGACAGGATGGACAAGACAGTGCGGTAGGAACTTTAAAATATAACAAATGTAAAAATTCAAAACTAGAGTTGGGATATAGAAATCTTTTAGAAAAAACAAAAATATGCAGGACAGGTGGAAGAAATAAATGATAAAATACTCAAGCTGTGCAGTAGGCTTAGAGAACAACCGGACCAGAACGAAGGAAGACCATAACTCCTGGAGGGTTGCTTCCAATTTAAAAATTAAACTGGTGGTTGCCCGATGTGTTTGAATGTATCAAGAGGCATTTTGGGATAAATTATAGGTACTCGAATATTAGGTAATTAAGAAAGCATGGAAAACGAGACAGTGGCTAACTTCAATCAAAAAAAGAAAATGTANTTATAGGTACTCGAATATTAGGTAATTAAGAAAGCATGGAAAACGAGACAATGGCTAACTTCAATCAAAAAAAGAAAATGTATTTTTATGCTAATTGCATCAACTATGAATAACTGGTACACAGTCATGATATAATTAATTGTTCTTTACCTAAGTAAGATATAGATATATTGAGGGATGGAAGATGAATAAATGTTTATGAGAGGGCATTAGAGTATAAATATATAGTTTATTTTTTCTAAGAAGTAGTAAAATAATAGAACTAAAAAATCAAGAATAGTAAAAGAATGTTATTAAGTAATATGAAGACAAACCCCAGAAGAGATAGTTAAAAGATAATGAAGCATTTGTGGAACAGAAATTGGTTGTGTAGATGGGTAGGGCTGGGTCTGCTGTGAAATATTTGATTTTTTAAAAATGTTCTCTTTGGTAAAATAAAAATGAATAAAAGTATTTATTTGAAAAAAAAAAAAAAACGGACTGTTTCTCTTAAGTATTTCTTTAAGATACTGGGAAACCAATAATACTGATTTGACATTCCTCTGAAAGAAACTTTAAAAATTCTCTCTGCTTTAGTACTAAATTTGTGTTGCTTTATTTTGGGACTGCAGTAACTTGTCAGCAAAAGGGACACCAAAATCTCTAGAACAGAGAGATAATATTCTGACCTCATACATTGTCATCATGGTGGGCACTAGCAAGTGATAGCATAGCACATGTCCCTAGCTTCACAGGTAGCAGAGGGCAGAACATCTAACTAACTAAAGGGTCCAAGCAGAAGGGAGCATCCTGGTGATGCACATGGTAAAGGAGAGAGGTCATCATAGAGGATATTCTCGGATGTGCTCATATATAACTGGAAGAAGTGTGTGTATGTGTCCTGCTATAACCACTAGAGGCATTACAATCCAAGGAAACCATCATCATTGATGCTATGCGTGACTCCATCCGTTCTGCACTGGTGTGGCCTGGGAAAGTGCTGGGTGGATCAGAAAGGATGGGGTAGAGAAATAACAAAGAGGCATCCAGAGACCTATTTGATCACTGGAGGGGAAAGGGGGTCGGAGGCTGCAGACAAAGTTGGCAAAACCTTGGTCCCAGAAACATTTGTCTTGGATACATAAATTGTCACTTCTGCTTCCTAGCTTGACTTTCACACTCTAAAATTTAGAGAAGGCTCTTTTTACTCTCCTGACCATCCCCCACCACAGAATTTTTCAGGCTTCACAAAGCAGTGAGAGGGCCCAGCTTAGCCTGTGTCACTCCTTAAAAGGAATGAAGTAGGGAAACCTAGTCACAGGGAAGCAAGGAAAAGGGAGGGGGAAAGAGTGGGCACTAAGACCTGTCTTGCCTGTAAAGAGAACAACTCCAATGTGACGTGAAGATCTAGGAAGAACTTAGGTCAGAAATCTCCCTTCTCCTGCCTATTATGGTGCCCCATATCCCATCTGTACTTCTTTGGGCATTTCAGCTTCACCCTCCCATGGTCAGAAAGGAATCAATTAGGGATTCAAGTAGGTACCCGATTCTTTGAGACTGACTAGAGGGTCCCCTCCCATTCCTTTTCTGGGTCCCCACAAACATTTATTTGCTTTTACTATATCCCAGTCTCCAGGTACAAAGATAATAGACAAGGTCCCTGCCCTCAAAGGGCTCCAAATATTTTGGTGGAGGTTGGGAACATAGAAGCAGATATGAAAACATAATTTTACTATAATGGGGTAAATTAGGAAAGAGATCTGCACAAACACAGAAGGGCGTGTACTTAAGTCAGGGAAGGCTTTCTAGCTTACAAGACCCTGACCTAAGGGAAAAGTAAGGGTTACCTAGATATGAGCAGGGCAGAACAAGAGGAACTGACCCCTCCACTCCTATTGCATCACCAAGAATTACATTTATTTTTTGATAGATATATAGCACTCCCAAACCCTTGGCTCCAGCTGTGCAAGTTCCTGCCTGTTACCCCTCTCATTACCAGGCTCCTTCATTCAGTCTCGACAGGTCATATTCCACTCATGGCAGCCACATTCTGTATTCTAGAACAGTGATGCCTAATATAAATATTAAATTTTATAATAGCCACATTTAAGAAGTAAAAAAGAAACAAGTGAAGTTATTTAATATATTTTATTTAACTTAATGTATCCAAAATATTTCAACCTTAATATAAAAACGAGTTTTTTTGTACTAAGTCTTTGAAATCCATGTATATTTTACACTTAACAGCACATCTCAATTCAAAGTAGCCACATTTCAAGTGCTTAATTGCCACACGTGGCTACTGGCTGCTCTATTGGAGAGTTAACTCTAAAGTTCTGCCTAGACTGGGTGTACTTGGTAATTCTGCATTAAACAGAGGCGGCCTGTCAGACTGAGGCATTACTATATATTTCCTCCAAGCCTCAGTATCCCCACCAAGGCCCTAAGAACAATTTTGAAGAAGAGAAGTCCTACAAGGTTTCAGCCACACTGGGCACTCCCTTTAGATGCCAGACCTAGGCAATTAACCCTAAATTGATCCCAAAGTTGCTGATGAAGTCAGCTTTTAGCAATCACAGATCCACAGTGCCTCGCAGTCAGACACATTTGACCCCAGGTGTCTCCAGATTGTCCTCTGGCCAGCAGAACAAAGACTTGATATTTCACTGATGTGACAGCATTTTCATAGGGCAGCCTGGAAGGGCCTTAGTGAAAGGTCATCTAGTTCTGCCCTTTTGGTTCTGGCTGGGACTGGGCACCACTTGCCACTTGGGACTTATAGAGGTTAAATATATCTGGTGCAATATCAGACACATTCTTGTGTTAGATTCTAGCATCAAGAACCAAAGGAGAAAAATATCGTAAAAAATGCTCTGTTAAAACATTTCCACAAATAGGACACCACCTTTTAACAATGTTTATGAAAGAAACCCGGGTATCCCATGGGAGCAGAATTTGAAATCCATAAAGACTTCAATCTCCTCATACTGAGCCAAGAACCAGAGGGCCAGAAAAGAGAAGTTTTGCCCAAGGTCATTCAGCAAATCCGTAGTGGTTATGATGAGCCCTGTATCCTTTACACTACAGTCTCCGCTAACTGAAAAAATATTTTAATTAAGGACACTGTGCCATCGGCAGGGTCCTTCTAAGTTACCTGCGGAGGACGGCCCGCAATGGAAAGACGGGCCAGCTCTGCCCTGACTTAGGGGCCAGCAGCCCTCAGTAGGATCTTGGCGCCGCCAACCCCACCTTCTGGAGTCCTGGGCGCAGGGGGCGACTAGGGCGATTCTTCTGTCAACTTCACGCCTTTCGGAGCCCGACCGGCAGCCCTGCCCGCCCCGCCCCGCCGCTGTGGCCTGTTCCCCGCAGCGAGCTGGATCTAGGCCGCCGGCCCCAGCGGGAGGCGAGCGGGGCCCCTACGCGGCGGCCACACCCGCGAAGGCGGCTCACGGGCGGTTACAGACCTTGCGGGAAACAGCGTCCGGGGAGGCGCGTGGGCGGCAGGGCGGCACCGGAGTCACGACCCACGACCCCCAATCCCCGACCTGCTTCCCGGGCAGGAATGGCTGGGCCAGCCCCGC